TTTTTTTTTTTTTTCGGAACCGGGGATTGAGCTCAGGTCCTTGCGCTTACTAGGGAAACGCTTATTCCACTGAGCCATGTCCCAGACCCCCCTTGTCTTAGTCTTGTAGCTGTCTGTGAGGTTCGTTTTCATTTGTAAGTTAAATTGGGTTATCCAATCTGTTCTACAAAGTAGTACTAGTAGTAGTAGTAGTAGTAGTAGTAGTTTCTTTTCTAAAAAGAAAAAAAAAAAAAACCAACAGTAGTATCTCCTCTTTCCATTCTCACCACAAACTTAAGTTACAAAGATTATGGTTTTGAGATTAAACAACTTTATTTTTGTTCATACTTGGAATGTCCAAAATGGCAAAGATACTGAAACAGTATCTGAACTTAAATTTCTTTTGCTTTTTTGTTATATCTACAAAAAGTGGGTATAAGTGCTACAACCTACCTGCTGTGGGTTTTTTTGCATTTGTGTCTACAATACTAGGGTGTTTTTTAAAAAATAAAATTTTACTTCGAGTACTTGATAATATCCTTATACATTCCTGTCACATTCCTACTGAAATGTTTATGGGTACCTTACTGTGGCCTTTCTTTTTTTTTTTTTTTTGAGATAGGGTCTCACTGTGTAGTAGTTCAGACTGGCCTTGAACTCACTATGTAATCCTAGACTGACTTTGAACTCATGGCGATCCTCCTGTCCCAACTTCCCAAATGCTGGGATCATAGGTGTGCCACCATGTCTAGCAGTCTTCCTTTTAAAGGACACTTAACAAAGCACATAGACTTGTTTGTTATTCATTGAGTTTGTGGAACCTGGGGAGTAGTTTCTAAAGTCTTAGCCGCTAGTTCTTTAGTGTTTCAGTCCTTGGTATTTTGAGAGCATGTAATAATCCTCCCATCAGTGTCTAGGGAAAGCTCTTCTATGGAACTTTTTTTTTCTCATATTCTGTCATCATAGTAACAGTCTCAGTATTCTAATGATGATAGTTGGAGCAGTACTTTTTTTTTATTTTATTTTATTTTTATTTATTTATGTGTGTGGCCAGCTCAGCCCACCAGGGGGCAGGGCTGGCTGGCATGTGGTGCTGGGGGATTGAACCGCGGTCCCTGTGTTTTGCTAAGCTTGTTCTAAGTAGGTGCTTTAGACCACTGAGCCATCTCACCAGCCCAGCAGTACTTTTTGAAACAACTCTCCTGGTTGCTGTTACAGAGTTGGTGAGGATGAGTGGAGTTGCAGAACGAAAAAGGAACTCCTTCCTGTTTGCTTCAGTAGGAAGTATGTGATTGGGTAATTTGTATACTAAAGAAGATTGTCTTGGCCAAATTCACAGACTAGAGTTGCAATTTTTTTTTCCAGAGAAGTTCAAGACTGGATTTTTTTTTTTTTTTTTTTTGTGGAACTGGGGATTGAACTCAGGCCCTTGTGCTTGCCAGGGAAGCACTTATTCTACTGAGCCATTTCCCCTGCCCACGACTGTGGATTGTTATACACATACTCTTCTTTTTCTCAGTTTTTTCCCTTTTGCAGTGCTAGTGATCAAACTCAGTGCCTCATCCTTGTGTACTTAATGCTGGGCATTTTACCTCCTTCCACCTACTAATATATTAAAAAGAGTTAGTTAGCTATTAGCTAGGCATGGTGGGAAATGCCTGTAGTCCTAGATACTTAGGAGACTAAGGCAGGAAGATTGCAAGTTGAGGTTAGCTGGGACAGTTTGAGGAGATTGTCTTAAAATAAGAAGGGCTGGGGATACAGCTCAATGATAGAGCACTTGCGTAGCGTAAACAAGGCTCTGCGTTCAAACCACACTATCATATATACATGCGTGTGTGCGTGCACGCGTGTGCACACACACACATACCCAGGACTTAGCCAACCTGGAAAAATGTTAGAAGTAGAGGAAAGTGAGATGGATTGAGAGGCTTTATAGATACAAACTAATATAATGCTATAAATGTTAGAGATCTTTTATTGCAATAATGAGACAGTTTGGTGTCTTGAGGTAGTTTGAAGTCTTGGGAATCTGAACGTAAATACAACTTGGGTAACCTGAGAAAATACAGGGTTTTTCCCCTTCATTTTCCTAGCCTAAGCATAGTCAACTCTACAGTTAAGTTCTTGCCTTGCTAGTTGCTGAACAAATACTGTAAAAGAAATCTTCCTTGACCACCACTATTAGTGTTTGGATATATACTGCATGACTTTCTATTACTTAACCAGAATGACAGTTTTCCTTCTACTTTCTTCTTTATTCTTTTTTTTTTTCTACTTTTTCCTCCTCAATTTTCTCCCTAATGTAACAGAAAACATGAAGGAATTAAAGGAACCCAGGCAGCGCAAAGATAACAGGCGGCCAGATCTGGAAATTTACAAGCCTGGTCTTTCTCGACTAAGGAATAGACCTAAAATCAAGGAACCCACTGGGAGTGAGGAATTTAAGGATGAAATTGTTAATCTCTGTCAAGATTCTTCTGCTATTGGAAATGGTACACAGCTCATTAAAGATGCCTGCAAGAAACTGGACAGCCAACAACAAAACGGTTCTGTAGACCCAGAAAATAATCAGGGACAGGAAACTTTTCCTAGGACAGCTGAACAAGAGGATCGAAGTCCAAGAATCATCAAAAGGACAAAGAAACCAGATCTGCAGATCTACCAGCCAGGACGGCGTTTGCAGACTGTTAACAGAGAATCAGGCAGCCGAGTGGATGAGGATGAGATCCTTAACCAGGTAGAACAACTAAGAGTAGCAGAAGATGAGTGTAGGGGAAAAATTGTGAAAGAGGAAGTTGTGAATAAACCAGATAAAACTGAGACAGAAAAAAGCCAAAACAGTGACAGAATGAGATCTGCAAAGGGAGAAAAAGGAAAAAGGATTGAAAAGGGGGAGGTGACAAAGAAAGTACATGATGACATGGCCCAGGGGAAGCTGGGTTCTGCAAAGCGCTACTCACGCTCAGACAAACGAAGGAATCGATACCGAACTTGCAGTACCAGTTCAGCTGGTAGTAATAATAGTGCTGAGGGAGCTGGCCTGACTGATAATGGATGCCGCCGCCGCAGGCAGGAGCGGACCAAGGAGAGGCCACGACTGAAGAAACAAGTATCTCTGTCTTCAACTGATTCCCTAGATGATGACAGAATTGATGAGCCTGATGAATTGGGACCCAGGAGGAGCTTAGAAAGGAGGAAACATTCAGAAAGAAACTGGTCTGGCCATGGGGAGGGTGAGCCAAAAAGCAATGGTAAGGAAAATCGAGCTACTCTTCATGTCACTTTTGATGCAGAAACCATGAACAAAGATTCCCCGGTGGTGAGGTCAGCCAGGGAAAATGTAGATGGGATCAAGCCTGACAAAGGCCTAACTAGTGAGGGCAGAGACTCTGAGAAACAGGACTCCAAAAACCCAAAACAAGAACTCCGGGGTCGGGGTCGAGGAATTCTAATTCTGCCTACCCGTACTGCTCTGTCTGTCAATTCAGCAGGTTCTCCAGAGTCTACACCTTTGGGTCCTCGCCTTTTAATTGGATCTGGTAGTAAGGGATCTCGGAGTTGGGGCCGTGGAGGCACTACCCGCCGACTGTGGGACCCAAATAATCCTGATCAGAAACCTGCTCTAAAGAGCCAGACACCCCAGCTACATTTCTTAGACACTGATGATGAAGTCAGCCCTACATCTTGGGGTGATTCACGTCAGGCCCAAGCATCTTACTATAAGTTTCAAAATTCTGACAACCCCTATTATTACCCTCGAACACCTGGCCCTGCCTCCCAGTATGCCTATACAGGCTATAGCCCCCTGCAGTACCCAGTGGGCCCTACAAATAGTGTGTACCCAGGGCCTTATTACCCAGGCTACCCAACTCCACCAGGACAATATGTATGTAGTCCTCTTCCTGCCAGCACCATGAGTCCAGAGGAGATAGAGCAGCATGTGAGGAACATGCAGCAACAGGAGTTACATAGGCTTCTCCGGGTGGCTGACAACCAGGAACTACAGCTCAGCAACCTGCTTTCCAGGGATCGCATCAGTACTGAGGGCATGGAGAAGATGACTCAACTCAGGTATGGTGTGTTCTATCTTGGGTAGAAGGAAATGGGAATGAGATGGAAGTATATAGGCTCCTCATGACTGAGGAAGGTAGAAACTTTTTAGGTGGGTGAGAGTGACGTTTCCCTTTTTACATTGATACTCTCTTCCACCCAGGAAGTTGGCAATCAAAACTAAGCCCTTGTATATATTGGTCAAGCACTTACGGCCAAGCCATATCACTAAGCTGCCATGTTGATTTTTAAAAAATATTCTATTCATTTGGTATAGGGTCTCGCTGTGCAGGACTCAAGTGATCCTCCTGTCTCAGCCTCCCCAGCACTGGAATTACAGGCATGCACCACCAAGTGGCATGTGGTACCAGGGATCAAACCTGGGTCCTTGTGCTTGCCAGGCAGGCACTTACACCACCAAGCTATCTCCCCAGCTCCCATGTTGAGTTTTGTAGGGGAGGGTTTGTTGAATAAAAAACAAAAGCTTTGTTTTAGTCTTGGAAATGAGTGTGCCCCTACTTTTTCTTTATGAAGAAAAATCTTTAAGGGAGTATAAAATTCTGAAAAAGAAAGATTTTCAAGAATGCCAAGAAATGGACAATATATAACTTGCCATGAAATTTTATTTCAGTTGTTGAGTTTAAGTGAGGATGTATGGGGAAAAACTATTTTCCTAAACTTAAGTATCTTTATGATGACATTTTGTTGTGTAGAATGGAAACCAGCTTGATATGTACTTGGATACAGTACTTGGTTATATTTTGGATTTTTTTCCAAGAAAGGTGATTACATTGCAGGAAGCTGTTGGGTCTTCCTGTGGTGTATGTGGAGCTAGAAGTTACATATATTTTATTCCAGAGCTGAACTGCTGCAGTTGTATGAACGTTGTATTCTATTAGATATTGAGTTCTCTGATAATCAGAATGTGGATCAGATCCTGTGGAAGAATGCTTTCTATCAAGTGATTGAGAAGTTCAGGCAGCTTCTCAAGGATCCAAATATTGACAACCCAGAACAGATTCGGAATAGACTTTTGGAGCTCTTGGATGAGGTAAGCCATTATCTTTTCATCTTCAGGATAAAGGCTTTAATATCTTCTGATTATAATCAATTTCTATCATTGAAGATACAATGCTTTAGAATGGAGCATTGACAAAATACTTTATAGTCTTCTTGGATTTAGGCCTGACTTATGGTGTTACTTCCTTAGGATTATAATTTAAAATTGGAATTAGTTTTGAGCTTGAAAGATTTCTGAATTCCTTGGTCTAGGTGTGGACAAGAGAATATGTATATGTCTGCTCATATCTTTAAAACTGTGGAGAGGTTTATACTATGATTTTGTCTTTTTTTTTTTTTTTTTCGGAACCAGGGATTGAACTCAGGCCCTTGCGCTTGCAAAGGAAGCGCTTATTCCACTGAGCCATCTACCTGGCCCCTCTGGTTTTGTCTTGTGCTTAGTTGGTGACCATTAAATGCTATATGTGCCCCCCTTTACATAGGCTATGTAAGAACTGTTAAAGGGTCATTTGCCCCAGGTTTTGGTGGGTAGGTTGGATCAAGAATAGGTTGATTCCAATAGATTTTACTTGTTTTTTTTTTTTTATAGGGTAGTGACTTCTTTGATAGCTTGCTTCAGAAGCTGCAGGTTACTTACAAGTTCAAACTGGAGGACTACATGGACGGTCTTGCCATTCGTAGCAAGCCATTACGTAAGACAGTAAGCCAGATTTCTTTCTTTCTGTTTCAGTGGTTCTGGGAATTGAACACAGGGCTTTGTACATGTTAG